AATTTAATCATGAGCATATACAAAGCCTCTTTTTGACCTGAGGTTAACTCAATACTCTTACAAGAATGAGTTACAGCTCTGATCAAATCCATCATATGATGGGCGAAATCTCAATCATTTAACTAATCTTTCGAATAAAATATTGCTTTCGTGACTATCAGTAAGTCAGTAATGTAAGATGTATTCACCCAATTTCGTTTAAGGTGATGAAGGACTGGTAGAAGAAGAATTTTCCCACAATATCAGCTCAACTCATGATTGTGGGAAAATTCTTCTACCAGTCCTTCACCATCTTAATCGAAATTGGGTGAATATATCTGATATTGTTTGGAAAAGAAAGAGTTCCATACTGCTGACTTTTTCTGCTATCAATCACATCGACCCTGCTACGAAGTCCGTTCTCAACACATTCAGGATAATGAGTTTCGAATGCAGCCTCATGGTACATCAGGTAGAAACCAGTAGGCATGGCATCTTTTGTAGAACCATCAAAAAATGACTTAAACAAAGGGAGGTTAAGACCCAGCCCGTGACGCTATAACGCTCGAAATGTCATTCATTCTTAGAAGGCTGTCTCTTCTCAGCTGTATTTGAGTGCAACTTTAACCTTGCCGAGAGGTTAGCACTACCTCAAATGGAACTGGAAACCAATTCGTGATTGTCAAATCACGATGGCACTGGTACTCTACTACACATCCACAGATGCTAGCAAGACTAAGGCCAGATGTGGTGTTCAAGGCAAGCTATGCCTCTAAACAAATCATATTTATAGTGGAATTGTCGATAATGTTCTTTTTTTTAGTTTCTTTTGTTTTAAATACTCTCCGTAGTTCTCGAATAATCATGTGGTGCTGAGACCTAGGCAAGGTGAAAACTTCAGCCCAGTCTAGCCGAAACTAGAAGACGATATGATAAATTCAGTGATATCGTGAAACTTATTCATATCACTGTGGGAAAACTTGACTATCAGTGGTGGTCTGACTTCGTTTTCGCAACTTGGTTATGCTGTCAAGGCGACTTAGTTGCTATAGTAGTTATCATATTTCCAAATGTCAGAACAAGTCCACGGCCCGATGGTTAGAACTATGATGACTTCGGACCAGGTGCCTTCAACTAAGTCCCCCATAAAACACCAACAAGTTGTAAAAACGAGGTCAGACCACATCATTACATCGAAATGAGACTGCCACCAAACTAGAAGCCACAACATTTTGGTTTTCGTAGTTACGTTTACTTTCAGTGCTGAAGCCACCTCAATCAACCAAATAGGACTGGTAGTCTCAAAAGTTACTTTCGTTCAACGAGCAGTTGTATTAAGCAACGGATGAGGATAGGATCTGGCCGATGTTCAGTTGTTGCGATGGGACATGTGGACGAAAAGAAGACGAACAGACGACGAGGAGGATGCTGGTGAGAGTGAAGTAGGGCAAGCGAGAGTGCAACAAGAACTGAGAAAGACATCATCAAGAGGCTTATGGAAGTCTTCCATATGCAAAGATCTGTAGCATTTTATCATTGAACTGAGAAAACTGGGGAGCCTTAAAGGGAGGATGTATTCGGGAAAAACATTGTGCGCTCTAAGCGGGTTCCGTCGTGGATGATTTCCATTCTTGAACAGGAGATTGAGAGGCTATAGGTTAAATTGCGTTCGGCTACAGGCCTTGTCACTATGCCTGCCGCGAGATGTCGTGAATAATTAAAATAAACTCAGCCTTATTTGCATCTTCTCAGTGATTAGCACGTCAAGTGTGACTTTCAAGAGCAGGCAGATCCACGGATCGAGTCCCGTTGGGAGTGGCGGCCGGACCCAGACAAGGTGGAAACGACTGTTCCTCCTGAACGGGATACCGGCATAAGTTAGTCTTTTAAAGTCAACTGCATATCATCGACTTTCGTCTCTGGGCGCTTGCTACTCGGTACTGTATGTGAACATGCAAAGGGTATACCCCAAAAGTATGCATACTCTGTATGAGTTCGGATGTAATAAATTGAAGAATTTTCGCCTCGAGCACAAATAGATCATAGCATTTATTTACTTTTGACTAGAATACTTTCGAATGGTACCTCTCCTTCCCTTGCAGAACTTGAAACCAAACGCTGGCTGAGAAGAGGCCATCATTCTTTGTTCTAAATACCCGATATAATTTGGTCATGGCGCTTGAGTTCGACATGACACTGCCACAATATGCCGTGGTCCGTGATCGTAGAACCATTGTAAAGGCTTGTGAGCAACTTTTCTCAATGATGCAATATTTCTAGAGTGCAGATCGCGTTGATTTTTTTTTCCAAAATCTCTATAAACCTTCATAAAAACATGCTCATACGAATAATTATGCATAACCAAGTCACAACAGTTTCTAGCTCACCCAGTTCACATTCGAATCTACGTGACGAGTTGAGCCTATGGAATGTGACCATCTGGCAAAAAAGTATAGATACTACTTAGAAGAGGTCGAATCTATGTCAAAACGGTTTTTCATATAAATCAGAACATTGTTTTCCAGGGTCGAAGTGTCTGATTCGAATGTTCACAGTGTTAATTGCGAGATCCAAAGAAAAATCACCTTGCGGTCTACTTGTCTATATGAATATTATGTACAAATTCGGCCTTTTCTAAACACCACTATGTGACATTTGTGCATTTTGTCGATAAAAAGATTCCATTGGCTTCAACCAATCGAGTAAAATTAGTTACTTTCATTCTTAATGGGCGAGCTGGTAGTCTCTCCATGAAAAACCATATGAAAAGACCCATTAATTAGTTCGGTATCAAGGGCTCATCAAGACGACATTAAGCTGTTGATTTGAGCTTGCAACTTTGTACAATCCTATGGCACCAATGCCTACTCCATGAGAGTATTCAGAATGCGCAACGCTTAGCAACAAGGGTCACAAAGCATAGCTCACTTTAAGACATGCTACATTTCTGGTCAATATTAAATTCCCTGCTTCATTACAGACTTGGCATAGAGGCTTCTGAAGCTAGGGTGAATACGTCTCATATTGCTGGACGAAAAATAAGTAATGTAGTCGATCGTCAAAGAAAATATATCTTTGCTTCGACAATCCATCCATAGAATATGATATGGAAAAATGTCTGGTCTTCCTTGAAATTCGCATCTGTCCTCTGATACAAGGACACTTATATACATATACATATATTTATTTATTTATTTATATATATATAATTTTGTCAAATAAGTGGGTTGACCTCGTTTTCGCAACTTGGTCTTGTTGTCAGGGTGACTTAGTTGAACGCACCTAGTCCAAAGTTGTCTCCCATAGAAGTTGTCATAATTCCCAGCATCAGAACGTGGACTTAGTACATGCTCAGACGTCTGAGAATGCACCAAGTTGCGAAAACGAGATCAACTCTATTCCATAAATCGAAAGAATACTGCGACCATACCAGAGACCACACCATCCTGGTCTTTTCTACACACCACTGTGTGACATTTGCGCATTTTCATTGGCTTCAACCAATTGAGTATAATTAGTTGCTTTCATTCCTAACGGGCGAGCTGGTATTCTCTCCGTGAAAAACCAGATGAAAAGACCTATTAATTAGTTCGGTATCCAGGGCTTATTAAGACGACATTAGGCTGTTGATTTGAGCTTGCAACTTTGTGCAATCGTATGGCACCAATGCCTACCCCATGAGGGTATTCAGAATGCGGAACACTTTATCTGATATTCTCAATTCGACAATTAGCTATATTTAAGTAGGTTTTTCTCGGACATCAGAACCTCACCGGCAAAATTATGTGTTCTTCAGGCATACGTATTCCTCTACGACACCTGAAAACTTTCCAAGACCTGACTAAATACACATCTTTTTCGGAAACTTATACATGAAATTAGTCACTTTGACCCCAAACAACATCAGATAGGGTCCTGCAAACTGGCAGGGCTGTCACCGAGTATCATTCACAATCTCTCAATGCCTAAGACGGAAATAAGTGTGTATTATGATACATGAAACTCTTGACATTTTTATCAGCCAAAATTACCTCAATTGGCTCTATTGTTTATAAGCTTACCGTGGATTCACTAAAATATTTTAAGTCGCTGATAATCTTCTT